GTCACCATGAAACGTCCCCAGTTGAGTATTTACCGTAAGATCATTTTTTTGTGTGACAAGTTTTCTGAAAATGTATGTTTAAATATGGGATTATTTAACACTAACTCTTGGTGAATTTAGGAGAAATCTACAGACGCAAATAGACAAAGTAGTAGAATAAAGACCTACATAAATTTCCCTGGGGTGTCTCCCTTTAAAGTACAAGAACCATGCAGTATGATGCAGATCATAATGTGTGAAAGTGTCCTATAGTAGTTGTAACGTAGTGTCTTGTGTCAGGACAAGACCTGAAATGGTGACGCTGTGAAGCCAAATAATCTGGTTAATGCTCATAATTGGTTTAAGATGTTTACGTGGACCTTGGAGATCCCGCAAACCGATTATTTCCCTCTGCCCATCATGTCTGGTATTCAGCAAGCCTGTCCTTCAAAGCGTAGGATTATGACTAACCTCGGTCCAAAACATGACAACAATGATACACCAGTTCACACGTGTTTTCTTTTATTACCTGTAGGTCGGTCTACCCAGTGCCTTCGACATGATGCTGACAGGCAGAAACATTCGAGCAGATAAAGCCAAGAAGATGGGGCTCGTCGACCAACTTGTAGACCCCCTAGGTAAGCTATCTCGACTCGCATGTAATTAGATTACATTGAACTGCTTCAAATGGGTAGTTTTCAAATATATCAACCTGTAGAGATTAATCTTTAGTGAGTAATTCACCACTTGATGTATTTTACTGCGTGTCCGTCGATCTTTAGGCTAGAATAAATTACGATTGATCTCGTCGTGATTCTTCTTGCTATTTCTACTTGTTTTACAGGACCTGGGCTGAAGAGTCCAGAGGAAAGAACGATAGACTACCTTGAGGAGGTTTCCATTGAATATGCCAGAGGGATAGTCAATAAGAAGATCCCTGTCCGCAAAGAGAAAGGCAGAATGGCGAGTAAGTTTCACTGCATTTATTCAGCTTTTGACTCCTCTGTAGTCGTGTAAGTTCACAAATATCAACACTACACTCAAGAGTTGATGTTCTTTCTCCACAGAAATTCAAGACTACGTTATGAGCTTTGAGTTTGTCCGGAATCAGATTTACAAAACGGTCCATGGTAAAGTTATGAAGCAGAGCAAGGGGCTTTATCCAGCTCCTCTGAAAATAATCGAAGTAAGTAAAAACTCTCTCTGGGAAAAATACATGAAAACATTATTTTTTTTTTTATTGTTTTGAAATATCTTGTTTTAAGCTACCAGTCTCTTTTGCCTTCTCTATTTTTAGAAAGTTGGTGTCATATTTAACATGACTTTTTTCCCTTCTCAGTCTGTAAAGGCTGGAGTAGAACAAGGCCCAGATGCTGGATACTTGGCTGAGTCTCAGGTAAGGTTTGTTGGCCTACATCATTGTCAAATATAGTATTTACAGTAATACATTGTAGAAGTGAACGTCACCAATTTTTATATTCGTCACAGAATTTTGGTCAGTTGGCGAAAACCTCAGAATCGGAAGCCCTGATTGGTCTCTACCACGGGCAAGTTGCGTGCAAGAAGAACCGCTACGGAACTCCTCAAAGAGAAGTGAAGTGAGTGAATATCGCTTTTGCACACAGACTGAAACAAATACCAGGCAATGAACACGAGGGACGGGGTGTATACTCTTGTTTACACTGATTGCAAGCAGAAGTCTATCCCGAGGCTTTGTTTTGGTGTAAAGGAAGTTTAAAGCTTTTTTTCAGGCGGTAGATGCATGTTTGTTTTTGTTGTTCACCACCAGGACTCTGGCCATCTTGGGAGCAGGTCTGATGGGAGCGGGTGTTGCCCAGGTGACTGTGGACAAAGGTGTGCACATAGTCCTGAAGGACACCACTGTGTCTGGACTAGCCAGGGGAGAACAGCAGGTTTACAAAGGGTGGGTTGTTGTTTAATTATTACCTGTTTCATTGAGTATGTTTTTCTTTACAGCAGGCTAAAGGGACACACCACCCCAAAATTTCTCCTCTTACCTTTAGTGCCATTTATCAATCTAGAGTGTGGGGTGAACTGTCCCTTTTTTAAGTATTCAATTCACATCCTGATTGTAAATTTGTGTCGCTGTAGTTCGAGTCGAACAACAGAATAACCTTTCAAATCAGCAATGAATTTAAAGTAGTTGTAAATTGTGTAGCGCAAATGCGTTGGGACCTAACATGTGTGTCTTTATTCTAAACAAGGCTCAATGACAAGACCAAAAAGAGGAACATCACGTCATTTGAGAGGGACTCCATTCTGTCCAGCTTGACTGGCCAGCTGGATTACAGCGGCTTTGAAAAGGCTGACATGGTCATTGAAGCTGTGTTTGAAGACATTAACATCAAGCATGCGGTCCTGAAGGAGGTGGAGGCTGTAAGTGTGCTGCACAAAGATTGGACTTCCTTAGTTTTAAAGATCTGTCCGTGGTTTTAACATCTGCAGCATTACATCCAGGACAGTATTGTTGTGACTTTGAGCTGCAATCTAACAGACGTCTGTCTGCAGGTGGTTTCCCCTCACTGCATATTTGCCACCAACACATCTGCTCTGCCCATCAAGGATATCGCTGCTGCCAGCAAGAGACCAGACAAGGTTTGGACCTGTAGTTTCAAAGTGCTTCTGAATAAATAAATAAAAACGATGTTCCTGAATATGTTCTGTGTATCCGCAGGTGATTGGGATGCACTACTTCTCTCCAGTGGACAAGATGCAGCTCCTGGAAATTATAACCACGGATCAGACGTCAAAGGACACTACAGCCTCCGCTGTGGCGGTCGGCCTGAAGCAGGGCAAAGTCATCATCGTTGTCGGGGTGAGACGTCTTTCCCTGTGTAGTTACTAACGAATAAATACTTTAAAACTTAAAAAAAAGATGCCAGCAAGTTGTAAAAGTGGTTGAAGGTGATTCAGCAAAATATCAATCATGGATTCATAACATTGTCGGACTTTAATTATATATTTTACAAACGTCTTTGCAGGATGGACCTGGGTTCTATACGACAAGGTGTCTGGCTCCCATGTTGGCTGAAGCAGTGCGAGTACTTCAGGTTAGTAGAATTACTACAGCTGTGAATAGTTCTGTGCTGTTGTAGTAGGATTTAGGACCGAATATGTTCAGCTCATTTGAAAAAAAAAAAGCATATTCATCCTTTTGCTACAGCTCTTATACATATGATTAATATATCCATTTACAGGAAGGAGTTGACCCCAAGAAGTTGGATGCACTCACCACCAGCTTTGGGTTCCCCGTGGGTGCAGCCACATTGGCTGATGAAGTCGGTATTGACGTTGCCGCCCATGTAGCCGAGGACCTCGGCAAAGCTTTCGGCTCCCGCTTTGGTGGTGGAAATGTGGAGGTTCTGAAGACCATGGTGGACCTGGGATTCAAAGGTATGGGCGGTCACATTGAAGCATTGTGCCCAGTATTGGTTGAATAAAATGCTTTTATTATAAATCCTTGCTTCTTTTTTTTTTTTTTTTTTTATCCTTAAGGTCGCAAATCTGGAAAGGGTTGCTACGTCTATCAGCCAGGACTCAAGACCAAAGAAGTGAACCCAGAAATTGGCGATATCCTTGAGAAATTCAGGATGACACCAAACCCTGCTGTGTACGTTAATGTTGAGCACTTGCAGAGGCAGAGATTTAAGACGCACTATGCACCGTGTCTTTTGTACAATGACCGTTATCACTGCAAGTATAAAAGTACATGGTGTTGAGTTACTTTACCAGGAATACAAACCTATTGAGCCATGATATTATGTTACATTCAAACGTATTTACTCTGTTCTTACTTGTGGATCTTTTTACAGGTCATCAGACTCTGATGTGCAGTACAGGCTCGTTTCCCGATTTGTCAACGAGGCCGTGCTGTGTTTGCAGGAGGGCATTTTGATCAACCCGTTGGAAGGAGACATCGGGGCTGTGTTTGGGCTGGGATTCCCCCCCTGTCTCGGAGGTCAGAGTTCAACCGTAGTCTTATGAGCTGCATCCTCTGTCAATGAAAAGAGCATTAGGTGTCAGTTTGTCCTGTGTTTTATGTGAATTTAAAAAGAAACTAGGATTTAACAAGTTACAGCTATTCTGTGTGTTCACAGAATAGCTTTTCACTAAGAAATGAAAACGATTCCAGAGCAATATCCCTATTACTCATTCAACATGCACCCTGTGATAATATTTCTAACATGGCGTCTCACCACTTCCAGGACCTTTCCGTTTCGTGGACTCCTTTGGTGCCGACAAGCTGGTGGAGAAGATGAGGCAATTCGAAGCGGTCTACGGGAATCAGTTCACGCCGTGCCAGCTCCTTCTCGATCACGCAAAGGATTCTAGCAAGAAATTTCACAAGTGAATGACTCACCGTGTGTGCCAGTAGCGCTTAATAGATCTGCAGTCTGCCACTAGAATGTGCCTGACATTTATATCACGAGTGGGGGGGGCAAACCTAATAAATACACTTATGTTGCCAGTTTATGAGGTACACCTGGGTAACACTAATGCAGTCTAATACAGCAGTCCTGAGTGTTGTATCAATGGTTTTAGCTGGTGCACCTAATAAAGTGGCGACTAAGTGTGTTGTGTCAGCAAAATTGGATGTTTCTTTTGTACTTTAACATTATTGATTTTCTTGATGGTAATGTATAGATTGAGAAGCAGATGGAGGCTAATTATTCACACATTGCAGATGTAAAGAGAATTAAAATATCTCCCAACTGGCAAATAAAATCTCCATTATTAATGAATGTCTACCAGTGTGGTTCAGCGGCTGGCTTTTGTTTTTTTTGTACATTAAAGACGTTCTGGCCTCGTTTGAACAATGTTGTAAATGTGAAGCCTAAATAAAAAATTGTTATTGAATCAAACCTGCTTTTTTGTTGTTAAGGTGCGTTCAAGTCTCAGGTGGAGGGTAATTTGTCATCAATACAGAATGAGACCATGGCTGCGTACCACGGGGTGATTTTTGCTCCAATCCAATTCGTTGCGCAGGTCACATGTCTGATTTCCATTGTCCGCAGAGCAGGGTGTGTACAGCTGGGAGTCTGTGTGGGCTGGGTCGGGACGGCAGGGTGTGTTTTCTTTTTTCCTCAGCATGCAGCATCCTTTTTGAAGTATGTGGTGACATCGCTTCTTTTCGGAAAAGATGCTGCGAGTTCATCGGGATGATGAGAGCGGCCCACGTGGGGTGTGTCTGACCGCAGGACATTAAAGCACCTGAACGGAGAAGGAGCATCGCAGGACCCCGCCCGAGAAAAATAGCTTTTTAAGCTTGGTGACGACACTTTTTTTTTTTTTTTGTTTTATTATTGACCAAAATGCCTAAAGCCAAACATTGCGAGGCGGTCAGGGTGGTGGTCCGCTGCCGGCCATTCAGCAGGAGAGAGGAGACGGCGGACTGTGAAAACATCATGCACATTGATGACAGACTGGGGCAGATCACCCTCAAGAAGCCGAAGGCACCACCTGATGAGCCGATGAAAGTGTTCACGTTTGATTCCGTGTACGGCTGGGATTCAAAACAGGGCGACATCTACGATGACGCCGTGAGACCCCTCGTGGACTCCGTCCTGCAGGGCTTCAACGGGACTATATTCGCGTACGGACAAACCGGGACAGGTAAAACACACACCATGCAAGGGGTGTCAAACGACCCGGAGATGAGAGGCGTTATACCGAATTCATTTCAGCACATTTTCACCCAAATATCCAGAACTCAGAATCAGAAGTACCTGGTGAGGTCATCGTACCTCGAGATCTACCAGGAGGAGATCAGAGACCTGCTGTGCAGAGATAACAACAGGAAACTGGAGCTTAAAGAAAACCCTGACTTTGGTGTTTACGTGAAAGACCTGTCCTCAGTGGTCACAAAGAATGCCACTGAGATTGAACATGTGATGAACCTAGGCAACCAGTCCAGGTCAGTGGGGTTCACCAACATGAATGAACGCAGCTCTCGCTCTCATGCCATCTTTCTCATCACCGTGGAGTGCAGCGAAGCAGGGCCAGACGGAGAGGACCACATCCGCGTCGGGAAGCTGAACATGGTCGACCTGGCCGGCAGCGAGCGCCAGAGCAAGTCGGGTGCAAAAGGGCTGAGGCTAAAGGAAGCAGCCAAAATCAACCTGTCCCTCTCGGCACTGGGGAACGTGATATCCGCCCTGGTGGACGGGAAGAGCACCCACGTCCCGTACAGGGACTCCAAACTGACCCGCTTGCTCCAGGACTCACTGGGTGGCAACGCCAAGACGGTCATGATAGCAACAGTGGGGCCGTCGCACAAGAACTTTGATGAATCCCTGGCCACTCTGAGGTACGCCAACAGGGCCAAGAACATAAAGAACAAACCTCGGATCAACGAGGATCCCAAAGACGCCCTGCTGAGGGAGTTCCAGGAGGAGATCGCGCGCTTGAAAGCCCAGCTGGAGGAGCGAGGGATGCTGGCAAAAGAGAGGAGGAGGAAGAGGAATAGCAAGAGACTGAGCAAAAGCATAGCCGACATGGAGGAGGAGATGTTCGGGGAGAGGGATGCGGAGGTGTGGAAGGCTTTCGAGGAGGAACCAGAGGTGAGACGCCGTGTGAAAGATGCAAGTGACTTCCCCAAGTCCATGACGTGCCAGAGGAGCGGTGAGAGGCTGAAGCACCTGAACGAAAACAGGAAGAGTTTGGTGGACATGCAGTGGGATCAAGACGCTTTGGAGAAGATCATTGAGAAATATAAGGTACGCTTGAAGATCGTAGTGTGTGATAAACGAGACACGGGTGGAACAAAAGAAATTTACATGAATAATTCATTTGATGTCTTTGTCCACAGGCTATGGAGAGCAAACTGTTAGTGGGAGGGAAGACTATAATTGATCACACAAATGAACAGCAGAAAACACTGGAGCTAAAGAGGCAAGAAATAGCAGAACAGGTATCTAAACAACAACAACACTGCGTATATATAATGCTATTTGGTGTGTTTTTTCTTCTTATAAAACATACTTCATTGCACTAGAGGTGTGATGCTTGTGTTCATCTTTACCTGAGCTGAATGCTCTGTGTGATCTGCAGATAAGAGGAGAGAGAGAGCTGCAGCAGCAGATGATGCTGCAGGATGAGGAGACCTTAGAAATGAGAGAGACATTCTCCTCCCTGCAGCAGGAGGTGGACCACAAGACAAAAAAGCTGAAGAGGGTAAGACGACCCAATGCTGTTATCACAAAACTAATTAATCATAATTTGAGATGTTAAGCTTCCGATGTCGCCAGGAGAGGTAACGCTGGTGAATCCGGGTTTCTCTGGACGGAGCTCTAACTTCTTTAGCCTTCTGATTGAAGCCATAAATTGTGTGTGTTTTTATATCAGCATCTCCTCCAGTGAACCTTTAACTAACACCAGTAATAATAGTCATCTATTTCTGCAGCTGTATGCCAAACTGCAGTTGGTGAAGGCCGAGGTGAGAGATGTCTTTGATGAACACATCATCACCAGACAGGAGCTCGAACAGACGCAGACCGAACTCACCAGAGAACTCAAGTACAAGTGAGTAGTCACATCCGAGAGCGTGCTCATATACTGATCATCATCATCATCATCATCATCATCATCATCATCATCATCATCGTCACGTGGCTTTACATTGTATTTACATCATACACATGCATTTAAAGACAGAGGAAGAGTTGACTAAACTTAATATTTAATCATGACAAGGTGGCATTAGCATATAGTTGTAGTGTTGTACTGTATTTGCAGAAATATGGTTTGTGATATTGGAGATATTCATTTTGATGAAAAGGACAATATTAAAATTCATATATATTTTTGTTTGTTTTATGTTTTAATTAGAAGTCTGCAAACAACACACTTCACGTGACTTTTCAGCTTACAGCTACTGTATATCTAAATATTGTTATGATCAAGTGACATTCTTAATTGGAGGTTTTTCTTGTCTATTTGCAATATCAGAAACTGTAACCAGACAGGGAAGTAAAGGCTTTATGTTTATTGTTAAGCAGTTTGTTTATTGTGCAGAGGATTACTATTATTAGATGCCTTATATTTGTATACTGCACCATTTTCCAGGGATAAAAAAAAAAAGTTGTTTTTTTAAATATAAATGGAGGAACATATTTATACTACCGTTTTGTGGTCTGTAAGGTATATGAACTGTTTGATTTAGTTGTTGTTTTAAAGCTGGACTGCAGGACTTTTACATATAAAAGAATGTCCGTTACATTCGAGCCCTTGCTAAACAAGTTCACACGAGGCTGATTAAGCCCGTCGCCGCTAAGGAAAGCTCTTTGTATTTCACAGTATATCAGATTGTGATGTCTGCAGTGACTTTCCCTTGCTGGCACACGTATGCCTCTCTTCAAGTCTTCCCGTGCATTTTTTTTTACTTTAATCCTTAATTTCTTTTCTATCTGGAGCATCCACTCCACAAACCTTTCTTAGGATTTTCCGCCTCACTCCTACCTGCTGCTTTATACGTATGGTCTCTCCCGTGTGGCAGCTACTCTCCCTTACCTTTTAATGGTAATGCTTCCTGTGAACTCAGCTGACACGTTCTTCTATTTCCCATTGCAGATATCTCCTGATTGAGAACTTTATACCTCCAGAGGAAAAGAACAAGATCATGAACAGGCTGCACTTTGACAGTGAGGAGGATCAGTGGAGACTCCAGCCGGTCATTCCATCGGAGAGGTCAGTGATTTCATTTAACATCATTTAACATTTAAAGTGGTACAGTAAACTAATAAAAATCCTCCAAAACAAATCGTGAATGAATCACAAAGGGCATAGAACTGACCTACCGGGTGGAATCCATCACTGAAGCAGCAGAGATAGCCAGTTTCCCAAATAGACCATGAGGCAGTGCAGCTGTAAGGTATATTGTGTTTGTTTTAATTGCTTCTTAAAAAGTGGGCAACAACTTCAACTCTGCTTTGGATTGTGTCAGCCACAGTGTCTATTTTGGTGCAACCACTAGGAGTCACCAAAGTCAGAAGTTTTTAAAATGTACACAGATGGGCTGTAAAGCCACCTGACCCTAAATGCTATAGATAATGTATGCAGTCTGCCTTTCCGGTAAACAGATGTCTTTATAAAAAGGAAACCAGACACACATATTTGTCTTTCCTGAGACAGTTGGAGAGCTGACTGGAAGACAACACAGATAACAGTAATAATAATTAATAAAGTAACTATCTATCTATCTAACATGGTTTTTTCTTCCGGTGGGAGCTGATCAGTTGGCCATATATGGGGCTCTTGAGAAGCTTCCAGAAGCTTGAGTCTTAACCGCTATGCATGCATTAAAACTGAATGAAAATCCGTCTTTTCCCATGTCTTTCTCTCAGTGTACCCACTCAGTTCAAGAGAAGGCCTCTCTCTGCTGTGGGATACAAGAGGCCAATCAGCCAATATGCACAGATGGCTGTTTCCACCGCAACTGGGGCCCCATGTAGATACCAGGTCAGAGCTCGGACATGTTGGCATAAAGTACAGCGGAGAAAGAGATGTGAATATGTGGGCTTACGCACCCTGATTTCATGTTCACAGGCTCCTTCTTAGAGCTGGAGGATGTGAAGATGTTTGAAAAAATATGAAAATACTATACAAATAAAAGCCAACACTCCAAAACTGGCTGGATTTCAAATAATATGTTTGCATATGTAATTATTATATTATAACAGCTTTACTTGTGTCTGTCCTGACAGGCTGAGAACATAATGCTGTTGGAGTTAGACATGTCTCCACCGACCATGTTCGCCTTGAACCTGAATGGCGCTCACCTGGAGAGAGTCTTCTCTCCCAGGCTGATGCGGGACCTTCTGGTAACTGTTCCCATTAGAGAGAGGAGCGCTGCATCGTCACGGATCAGGAAGTCCCAATCCTGGTGAGAGAACGGATGAGAACAGAATACGTGCTTAGGAGCGTTAACTCAGTTCAAGACTGCACATTGCAGTAGAAGAGTTATGTGAAGAACTGTCATGAAGTGTAATCATACTCCTATGTTGGGTCTATCCTAGTTATTGAAATATAGTTTTGAGCATGCATTAGTGGTGTCAGTTATAGAGGCACTCTCTGTCTGTATCTTTGCATGTTTTCCCCCTTCAGTTCATACATTTACTTTATATTTCTGTTGACCGATCTCCCCAAAAATATCAATGTTGCTTTCTTTTTAATACTGCATTTGAAATAAGTCCTTATCTGTGTTTTTTTTTTTTTAATGGTCTACAGGTTTCAGGCACCACAAGCAGCATCCATCCCGTCATCCTCCTCGTCCACCACTCTGACATCAGGATCTCATCAGAGCTTCTCTTCTCCTTCTCGGAGACAAAGACCATCCTCTGCTGCCTATCTTCCGCTGGAAAGTCCAGATCAGACAAGCCCCTGATGTGGCAACTGTGTACAGGGCTGACCTTAGTTCAAGGTTGTGCAAAGGAGTAATGGGGGGGGGGGGGTCTTCTGCCTTGATTTCACAACTTTTTTCTTGAGAAAGAATTACTTTAGTAAGCATGCATTCAAGTTAACCAAGAACAAAAGATATACAGTTGCCTAAAAACCATCAAGTGTCTCTCAGTCTCCATCATTAGCACAGCCGAAATGTTATCATTTGAAACCAGAGATATATTAAATTATTTTAACAGTTTTTTAATTTTCAATTTGATAACATTTTCATTTACATTGTATTGAAATGTATCTGGTCAAAAAAACTGGAAGGTGGTAACTGAGGGCCCCAACCACTGGGGGGCCACCCTGGTCTTTATCCTGTATGCTTGATGCATTGTTGCTTCGGTTTCTTGGCAATGTAATTGTGAGCCAAACAATGTGAAGAAAGCCTGCAATGCTCTCTTGATTAGCTGCCTTATTGTTTTTTTCATAGTTGTGTAAATCGTGCAAAAAGCCCATTTTGCTTATAAAATAAACACGGACGTGATCTTGAACTGCCTCCTGTATTTTCCCCCAAGAGTTATGCGGGTTATGTTGCCGGTTAATTGCTAGTTGACAGCTTTATAAACATATGCGGGGGAAACTTGAACACTTTGCAATGACAGCTTTATACAGTAAAGATGACGTTTCCCTCGGAGTCACGTGACTCTTTACTGTAAGTCCAACATGGCAGACGGAGAGTGGATCTTACGCGGTAACTAAACCAACACTTCCAACTGGAACAGACACATTACAACACTACTCTCTGCACAGAAGAGACATCAACAATGAGGGAGAGGCAGAAGAAAAAGAAGGGGAGGACGTGGGCGGAAGCCGCAAAAACGGTATTCTAGGTGTTTTTTAATTTTTTTTTATATCTTCCGTTTGTTGTGGTTGTTTTTCCTTGAACGCTCCCACTTTGTACAACTGTGTTTATGAGTTCATGACCTGCTAGTGGAGACGAGATGTAAGGCCCGTGTTTGACGCTTAGACATTTGGAGGACCGCTGTCACTATAGCCGTCTAGCTGTCATCGTTGCGAGGCGACTGTCAGCTGTGTGCACCCCCCCCCCCCCCCCCCCCCCCCCCCCCCCCCACACACCAAAAAAAAACAACAGCTCCGCCCCCCCAC